TTCCCCCCACACTCACCCAGTGAGCCATGTTTCATGTCCAGAAGATGACAAAAAAACCTCCAGGATCCCCAGTCCATCTGGCTGGGAGAAAAATGGCTTCCTGACCCCAAAGTGACGATCAGCATTTCCCTGGGGGTGTAAGAAAGGGCCACGAGAACTAAGCACTGACGCAACCCCCTCTCATGATCTGCCTGAGTTCACAGACTCAGCATTGCTGATAGACGGCCATCTAGCCTCTGTTTGAAAAACTCCAAAGAAGGACCTTGCATCTCCATAAGTTTGAGATATCTTACATAGGTTGAAAACCATAATTAGAAAACTAATATAGAACAGTTTGGAAGTGTTACCCTAAAAGGCTCCCCCCCCCCTTTTAAAGTCAGTTTACTATTTTCTGAACTCTCCCTAGAAACTAAAATGTCTAAACTGAGGCTATGGTACTTTGCTTGTATTATGAGAAGATGAGAGTCGCTGGAAAAGACAATAACGCTAGGGAAAATGGAGGGCAGCAGGAAAGGAGGAAGTCCAAACCAGTGCTCCCTCTAAGCTGCGGAGTCTTGTGAGCAAAAATTCTACTTTATGAGCGACTGGCATCAAAGTTGTGAGAGAGTGATTTGCCTGCTGCATAGATTTGGCGACTGCACAAACTAGTTTGCTCTGGAGCCCATCCTTCCTGAGCTAAGACAAAAAACGTGTGAGCCGGAGGCTAAAAAAACTGTGAGCTAGCTCACACTAACTCAGCTTAGAGGGAACACCGGTCCCAACAGTGGAAAAAGTGCAGAAAAGGGCAACTCGAATGATAAAAGGGTTGGAACACTTTCCCTATGAGGAAAGGTTAAAGCGCTTAGGGCTCTTTAGCTTGGAGAAAAGACGACTGAGGGGTGACATGATCGAGGTTTACAAGATTATGCATGGGAAAGAGCAGGTAGAGAAAGAGGTACTTTTCTCCCTTTCTCACAATACAAGAACTCGTGGGCACTCCATGAAATCCTGAGCGGTCGGGTTAGAACGGATAAAAGGAAGTACTTCTTCACCCAAAGAGTGATTAACACATGGAATTCACTGCCACAGGAAGTGGTGGCAGCTACAAGCATGGA